CTCCAAATATGGAGTGCTCAGTCACATCGTTTATTGTTTTGGGGGGGCAATGTTTATACCTAAAAATAACAAAATCTAAGGGTGACATGTGGAAGAGATCCAACGGTCATGAAATAGTTTTTGAGAGTGCAAACTTGACATAATGGTTCAGGAAGTGGGACTCTAAGAATCCTAAGAAGCAAGGAGATATGACATCATGAGCCATCAGTTGGAGTTGGTTCAGCTCACGTCTGCACGTCTCGAGGAAAAGGTCATGACTACAATCATGGCCAAAAAAGATGGCTTCGATGATTGAAGGTCATCCCTATAAATAACTAAGACTAAGCTACAGAAAAAAGATATATGATCAAACACAACAAACTCTACACAGAGCCTGTCTCTTTACTATTTACTTGTTCTTCACTTCCTAACAACTTTACTCTTTCCTGTATTCCATCACTCTGATGATCTTTACTACATTTAATGTTAATTATAGTATTCATTTCATCTTCCAAACTTAGTTTATCAGTTGCTTTGTATTCCAGTTTTTTTTTCTACATTCCAGTCTATTATGTTATTAGTTGAAAAATTATTTAAAGTTCTTGAACCCTAAAGTAAAGAAAAGAACTCAGATTTTGACTTACGCCTCACTACAATCACTTAAACAGCTACGATTTTAGAACCTCACACCAGTTTGAGTTGGTAAGATCATATGTGTTTGGATCTTAAGTCGAATCAAACTTTGGCATGTCTACAATCCGAAAATATGCAAAATAGTAGCATGCCAAAATATATAAATAATTGAAGTTAGATACAATTCATTCAAAATTAAATTAAAACTCAAAAAATTTAATTATAACTCAATAGATCCTAAAATATTAGTCCCAAACTAAAATTATTCTAAAATGAAAATGATCCTAAAATGCATCTTACTATCAGATCAGTCCCTTGGCCAGATGAGAGGTGTCATCCAAGTCTTATCATCCCCTATTCAAATTCAGGCTAGTTGTTTTTTGAGATGTTAGAGGAGTATCATAACGGGGAGTTGGCATGGCAGAATGTGAAAATCTAGAGAGTAGAGCGAAATTTCCTTTAATCAAAAGCTAGCCCTAAGCTTACGCCATTCAGGTGTCCGCCTAAGGCCCCACTTATAGTAGGACGCCTAAGTTGAACCAAACATAGACATTTAAATCCGCTCTGTCAATGACATCTATTGGATTTCGACACAAACTCTCTAATTGTCAAGAATGAGAGTTTGTCGAGTAATCAATTTAAGTCCTAATAAACCATTGATAGGTTTATTAATTACCCAATTAAATAGGAAATAAATTGAAAGTGTTTTAATATACCATAAATAGGTATATTAGACATGTGATAGGAAGCATAAAGATCAAGTTGTATTTAAATAGGTTTGGGTTATAATATTTTATCCGTATAAATAGGATTGAGTATTATGTAATCAGTTACCAAATGACTAGTTTCTAGTGAATAATACATCGATGCAGATTTTTGGTCCGTGAATGTAGGTGTGGTATACTGAAAATATATGTTGTATCAAACCACGTTATATCTTTTTGTTTTGTTTTATTGTTTTTCTTATCTTTGAATTCCTATATTCCAACAAGTATTATTTGTGTCTATATTCCAACAAGTGGTGTCAGAGTTATATTCCAACAAGTGGTATCACAGCTAGATTCATGATCCTAATTGAACAATCAATTCAATAGATTGACGATCTTGGTGCAACTATTAAAACAAGTTATTGGTAATTCAATGATCAAGTTGGTGTTCATGTTGAAGAAGACTCTATTGCCATATGTTTACGACGTTGTGTGAAGATTGATTTCATCTAACGTACATTAAGGACGTAATCTTGAAAAATTGGCTGATGTATATTTTGTTTGGATCCACAAGGAAAAATTTTAAGGTGGTATAAAATCAAATGGAAGACTAAGTTGCTTCCTGATTGTTTGGATTTCAAGAATTATCACACATGTTGTGTTGAAGATGTTTATTTAGAATTTTGGGTTCTTTGAGTTGAAGTCGCGGTATTTCAATGGTTTGGGAGCTATTGGGCTGATATAAACCCAATAGTGATGATTTAGTATCTCGTGAGTTACAAGTCACTAGGCCATTGAAACCTCTTAAGAACAAGTAAGACATGGACAAAATGCACAGTTGATGCAGGTCAAGACGCAAATTCTTAAAAGACAAAGAGGATTGTAGCGACTCAGAGGACTAGGCTTGCACTTAGTGCTTAAAAAAATTGGTGGATCAAAATTAAGGTTGTTAAGCCTAATCTTGGGCGTTACCAAATTTGAAAAGTTTGGTTCAAGGAAGACAGCTGAAATTTGACTCAAACTCTCTAATTGTCAGAAAAAAGAGTTTGTTGGGTAATCAATTTAAGAGTCTTAATAAACCATTGATAGGTTTATTAGTGACCTAATTAAATAAGAAATAAATTCAAAGAATTTTAATATACCATGAATATGTATATTAGATAGGAAATAAATTGAAAGAGTTTTAATATACCATGAATAGGTATATTAGACATTTAATAGGAAACATAAAGATCAAGTTGCTTCTGAATAGATTTGGGTTATAGTATTTTATACCTATAAATAGGGTTGAGTATTATGTAATTAATTACCAGATGACCGATTTTCTATTGAATAATATATCGATGTAGGTTTTTTGGTTCATGGATATAAGTATAGTGTCTTAGATGGGTATATTGTATCGAACTACGTTATATCTTCTTTTTTTTATTGTTTTTCCTATCTTTAAATTTCTTTCTTCCAAGAAGTATTATTTGTATTAATTATTTGTTATACAAAACCGACAACATCATTATCTTAGTGGTGTTATATTAATCCTCCTCCGATGCAATTGTGGAAATTCTCTTTGCTCCGATGTCTACTTAGTTGTCCCAACATATCTCAAATTCATCCAAATGATGTCAATTTTTTGTTCAAAAATCAAATTACAAATCTTGTTATGTTGTGTGTTTGTATATGTAGGTATTTAGAAAAATTATCAATAAGTCCTATTTTCTTTTGAAAAGAACCATTAATTCCCATCATATTTACATTAGGACAATTAAGGTAGTGATTGGTAACCGGTGGTTTTGTTTTCTTTTTTTGTTTTTGTTTTCATTTTATGGTAAAAATAAATAAATAAAAACATGTTTGGTTAATATTTTCATTTTTTTTTAATTTTTCTGTTTTAAAAACAAGCTAAAATATGAAAACATTCAACATTATGTTTTTGAAACATAAAAAAAAAAAACGCGCAATTGATAAAGGGATTTAATGAGGTCTTGACTTTGATCCTCCTTAACAATAAAAAATGATTTTTTTTGCTTTGAGTATAAAAGCCCATGTCTCTCCTTCACACCTCTCAGTCGTCTCTTTGTCGACTCTCTCTCTCTCTCTCTCTCGATGTCAAAGGCTGAAGACGAAGAGAAGTCATCTCCATCGAAATTGCCCCTCTCTGTTCTCTCGATGCCAAAGACGAAGCCAAAGCCATCACCATTGCCATTGCCCCTCTTAGTCATCTCTCTCTCTATGCCAAAGACGAAAACAAAGAAAAAAAAAGGGGGGGAAACATGTCATCGCCCCTCTCAATCATCTTCTCAAGCCCTTCATCTATGTATATTATCTGTATATATAGATGAGTGGTGGATTTGGGGGGCTTTGGGTGGTGAATTTCGGTGGTGGGGGTGGGTTTTCAGGGATGGGGTTGGGTGGTAGTTTTCGGTGGTGGTCAATGGGGTGGTTTTCGGTGGTCAGTGGGGTTGTTGTGGTTGTGGTTGTGGTTTTCAGTGGTGAGAGTGGGTTGTTGGCTTCGGTGATGGGGTTGGGGTTGGGTTTCGGTGGTGGGGTTGGGTGGGCAATAGGTTTGGATGGTGGTTAGTGGGGTTAAGTGGTGGGTTTGGGTGATGAATTTTTGGTACATTACCAAACATAATTTTTTATTTTTGTTTTCATAATTTTTTAAATATAAGTGACTATCAAACATGTTTTAAATTTTTAATTTTTATCACAAAAAAAAAAAAAACAAAACTTAGTTCTGTTTTTTATAAAAAAAAAAAAAAAAACGAAAACGTTATCAAACACCATAAGTTTTACTTTGATAATTTACTCTCCAAAAAGTCCTAAACTCAATTAATGATTTGTTTTGTTCTAATTTTATCCTTTTCATGAACACACCAATTACTTTTTTATTTATAATTTATATTCAATTTTATTTATTGAAATATGATTGTTTTATCTAAAATTAAAACCCAAAATAAATATCTTTAGTTAAAGCATCCACCCTAATGACATGTCAGAGCTCATATACAAGTAAATCGAGCATATTACAAAAATTATTAGATACATAAATATTTTATATCTTAAATACAACATTGTTGCTTTGGATGTTAGAATTTTTTTTTTTATATATGTCTTAAAACAGTAATTCTTTTCTAATTAATTCAACATACAGAGATAAATAAATAAATCAAACTAAACACCGGTATGTCACCCTTCCAAGGAAGGGAAAAAATAACATTCTATTATATATAACATATTTAAATATAAACAAATAAAATACTATTTCTATTTCATTTTAGATCGGAGATGTAGGATTTTCAGGATAAGGAATTAGATAAACAAACAATGGATAAATCCAAGTAACCTTTTTTTAAATTCAAGCGATCTTTTCGTAAGCGTTTGCCCCCAATTCAATCGGGGGATCGAATTGATTATAAAAACATAAGTTTAATTATTCGGTTTATTAGTGAACAAGAAAAGATATTAACTAGGTGAGTGAATAGATTGACCTTGTAACAACAACGATTAATTACTATTGCTCTAAAACAAGCTCGTGGATTTACGTTCAATGCCATACTTATCGAACATAGGATCTCCGTCCTTGTGATTCTCCTCCTGCTTTCGCGGCTGCTGCGATTAGCATAAGTCCGAGTACTATGCGCCAATCTAAAAGCAAATTCTTGTTTATCTCTGGTGCTTTTGTTATCATTTCCACAGCTTCCTCTTTTTGCATTTCCTCCTCTGTGGTAAGATAGCTTTTGCGATCCGTTTGTTTGCTTCACCCCCACTTTCTTCTGCATTCGCGATTATTTCCCCTGCATTCTGTAGTGGTCTTTCTATCTCTAGGTTCGCCAAGCTTCGCTGTATTGCTTGTCCTACCTCTATAATGGTATCGCTAAATAAGGAACACCCAATAAATAAGCATGGCATGAGCACCGATTGGATTTCTCCCAAATGTTAAAGGTAATCTTTTCATTTTGAAGCCTTGGTCTCCTGGATTGAACAACTCGAAGTTTTGTCCTTTCCACAGATATCCAGGTCATGACTTAGAGTCATGTTACACTCTCAAGGATTTGATTTATGACTTGAATGATCAGAATCAACTCAATTGGAAGGAAATAGAGGTACATGTGATAGGGCAGAATCAAGGAATTTATCAAAACCCTTTGCCAGATCACCAAGCATTATGTGAACAGACCAAAGAATTGAAATTGTTCGGTCCCAGAATCGCTTATTGTGACAAAGGCTCGAAGGATTACTACAGTGGAAGTACAAAGGCCAATAGAAGCACCCACATGTCAATTGTCAAGTACAGTTGATGGTTGAAGATAGGAACCTCCAAAAACATACGACAGCATGCGTGTATGATGACATCTGCAACGAAAACTCCTTTTTTTTTAGACAAAGTAGTACATTGTTCCACTTGAGAAGATAAAGGCTTTACATTTTTAATTTATGTAATTGTATGTCTTTATAGTTTACATTTGATAGTCAGATGAGTTGAAATTTGTATGCTTAAAAAAGTTAAATATAAGAAAAAATAAAATTTTATGATTTATTATTTCTATAAGTCTTTATTGTTAGTTACGTGTTTGAAATGTTATGCACTAATTAGAAAAAAAATAATTTGCTTTCAGATACTAATAACCATTTTATTGGTAAAATTGTAATTGGTGTTTTGATGAGCAAGATAAAATTAAAGGCAAATATACTATTGATAGAGTTTAGGACTTCGTGAGAATAAATTACTAAAAGTATAATCCTACCCTAATGCTTTCGCGGAAAAATATATGGTATATGGTACCAAATCCAAACTCTATCAAAAACTTTTGCAAAAAATTACGACCTAATGAAGTCCAAATATTTGTGATCAAGCCTAACAAGTTAGAGTCAAGGTCGAATTTGCAGTTGGGGGCAGTACAGACACCTACCTCCACCACAATTTTATAATGAATTGGAACTTATTTAAAATTTTGAGAAATTTAACTTTGTTTTAGAACATGACTCTCACTAAAAAAACAAAAAAAATCACAAACATTTCAGGGTAATTTATTTAAAAAAAAAAAAATAAGGGGAGTTCTTTTATAAGTTAAAACAATTAGACTTTAGCATTCCTTACATGAATCAATCTCGCAACTCTCTTTAGTTTTCAGTTCACTCACCCTTTGCAATGAATCACCATTTCACCGACCCATTCGTTTTTCAGGTCCTACCTCCTCTTCCTCCTAAATCAACAATTAGATATTTCGCATTCTTACCCGATTTTTTTGTGAAATATCAAAAAATCTTCTATTGACCTACCCGAATCTTTCAAGTAACCGATTAATAAAGCCGGATAAGATAGAATCAAAAGTTGCAGGTAATCGAAAATTTGAACACCCCTGACAACCAAAAGCTTGACATCCTGAAGATGTCAGTCATCACCCACAAATGAATATAATGTTTCTAATATTGTTATATTGATACTTAATTTATTAACTTAATTTACTATAACCTTTCTTGAATTGACTCTGAGGACAATCAAATATTGAAAATTGATATTAATCAAATGATCATAATAAAATCACATAATTAAATTGACAAATTAAGTCAATTGTGGTGAATTGACTCTGGCATGCTATTCATAATAAAATTGCAATACACCACACCCCAATAAACTTCACATCTTTCCCAGCAAAATCATAATTTTCCTAGGCTACGAACATTAATTAATAACAAAAAAGAACTAGAACCAAAAACCAACTAACCAGACATATACTTGTAGATAATTAAAACCATACCGAAGAACCAACTTCTTTCAACTATCTAAAGTCAACTTGAGTAGAAGTCGTGTAACTTTCCTACAAGTAGATACCCATACTGATCCTTGGACATTCTAATCTGGGATGGCAAGGAAATACTACTAAGTTACTTGGCCTTGTAATCCAAGCCAGTTCATACATTTTCTGGCCTTTTAATCCAAGCCAGTTCAAACATTTTCTACAAAGCTTCCATAACTATATATCACCGCTATCCCAACACCAATGCCAGGGCCCTTGAACCATTGTGGCCAACAGCAAGACTGTCGGTGCCATTGAACCATTGTCGCCCTTGCCATCTGTTATCACCCACCCCTCAGATGAATAGCATGTCAGGCTTAACACTGCAATAATATGAGATATAAATAGAAAAATGAAAATCTTACATATCCTACAAAAATGACACTAGGCCAGACCTTAAAGAGTAATGGAAACTATCCAATGGGGCAAAACTTCATCCTACTCCAACCGAAAAACAGCTAGAGGAAAACAAAATATTTCGTCCAAAGTCAGCAAAGCCAATTCAAAATAATCATCCATCCAACATCCCTTTCCAAATGATTCTATTAAGAAGTAGCATGCCATTATTGCTCCATATACCTATTATCGTGATCCCTTGCTTCAAACTTTTGACTCTTAAGTTTCTCACACCTATCAAACATATGAAAACAAACAGTGTGCCTGTTGTGACCCGTTACAACAATCCTGCAACTAAACCATCGCCACTGCCAATATCACCCTGCTTAGACCACTATCCCTCCCATGGCTGCTACCCATGCGACCCTTCCCCAATTCTTCGACCCTGAACCACTGATGCTATGGTACCATTTACCACCATCACCTACAGTTCCTCCACAGCCAATGTAGTTGGCACAGAGAATTGGGTATCAGCCCCAGTTTCCAAATAACAATTTAGTAGCTGACCAAATTGATAAATTAAACAATTGAGATCGCAACTCGATAATATTTCAAAATACTTCCATTTTGCTCAAGTTCAAATATACTTTATTAAATTAGTGTGTCCAACCAGTAGGTTTGGGTTCCCACTAATAACTATGGATCTTTCCCAATGTTAACAAAATTAGAACCAAAGAGATTTCATACCCCATATGAATTAAAATTTGTAAAGCAGACCCATGATTTAGTAAATCATAACAACAATCTAACAACGCTAATTACTTTAGTTTAGACAACAAATGCCTAATAATGCTAACTACTTTAATGTAAACGACAAATGCTTAGCCCCGCATCAGCAATAATGTCCACAATATAAAATGAAAGTGAAATAAAACCATCAGAAAAATCCCAATGTTACACTATTAAAGTTTTCCCAATAGCCAATTCAAGAGTTAATATACCTCTCAATGCCCAGTAAACAAAAACCATCACTAACCATCATCACATTCTTCCACTAACAACAACCCAATAACCCCTAATACCCTGAACCTGCAGCAGTCAAAACCTCCCAATCTCAAAAGAAACAAAAAAGCATCAGCACAAGCATGTGTTAGATTAGGGCACATAAAAAGCTAAAATCCCAAGTACCATACAAAAATGTCAGTAGGTCAGACCTTAACTAGGGATGGACATAATGCCACAGTAGTGGCCAAAATTCATTCTACATCCGGATTTTGTAAACTGTAAGTCACCAAATCTTACCAGCTGCACAATAGGCCAAACATAAGCTAGAAAAAATGCCAGGGAAAAACAAACTATTTCTTCCAAATCAATCAAAGCCAATTCAAAATAAACTATCCATCCAGAATACCTTGCAAGTGATTCTATTAGGAAGAACCATGCTCTTAGTTCCACAATATCTACACATTATCCCTAATCCTAATTCAGACTTTCAAATTTGATACTCATTCAAAACTTCAAAACAAACACCGTGTTTCACAACCAACATCACAATAATCCAACAACTAAATCATCACCACAGCTGCTATCGCCCCACTTAGACAACTATCCCTACCCTAGCTACTACTCCTAGGACTCTTTTTTTTTTACCCAATTCTTCGACCCTGAATCACTGATGCTATAGTACCATCGCCTTCAGTTCCTCCACTGCAGGCAGTGGTGTTTGCACGGGAAATTGTGCATTTCAAAATTCGTCCATTTTGCTCATGTTCAAATACTCAACTCAACACAGCCTTAATCCCAACTATTTGGGGTCGGCTATATTAATATGCAACGTTAAATAAGTGAGTCCAACTAATAGATTTGGGTTCCACTGGCACCAGCAACTATGGATCCTTCCCAAAGTTGACAAAATTAGAAAATATTGAGGTTTCATACCCCATTACCTTTAAAAAATTTGTAAAGCAAACCCATGATTTAAAAAGCCCTAACAACAATCTAATAATGCTAATTACTTTAGTTAAGAAAACAAAGGCCTAATAATGCTAATTATTTTAATGTAAACTACAAATGCCTGCCCCTGCATCAACAATAATGTCTTTGCCATAAGCCAGACAAAATGTAACATTAGAAGTGTGAAACTAATATGCACTAAAACCATCAGAAATATCCCGATGTGATAACAATAAAGTTTTCCCAACTAATAAGTCTACCAGTCACCATCCATTTTTATCAATGCCCAATAAACCAAGACAACCCCAAATCTTCATCAGAATCTTCCTGCAAGAATGACCCCTAATACCCTGCAGCATTCAAAACCCTCCCAATCTCAAAAGAAACAAAAGCATCAACACAAGCATACCCTACCTGTTCAGAGGTGAGCCACTGATTATCCCACCTACTCATAGTCACCCTTCTCGGCTTCTCAATCTCCTTGCCAAGCACCTGTCTCGCCAAATCTTTCAACCCAGCATTGCGAAGCTCTATCATATCATAATCATTGGCCGCCAAGCCACGCACATCAACAGTAAAGAGCACCCCCAAACCATAATCCCCCATCAACTTCTCAACATCGCTCTCAATCCCAACACCCACAAAAGTATAGTTGGAATTTCCAAGAAAATCCACAAGAGACTGAGGAATTTCAGAGCAATGGATCAGTTGAAAGATGAGACAGCGACGACCCACGCAGAGTTGGAGAGTGGCGACTGGGTTTTCGACGTAGCGATTGAAGTTGGGACGCCACTCGACGTCGAGGCCGACAATGAGACGGTGGAGACGACGGTGGTGGATCGATTCAGTTTCGTAAATCCACATGTCGACGTAGGAGGGACTGTGTGTGACCAGTGTGTGGATCCTATCGTTGCAGAAGTTGACATCGTAGAGGTTGTGGGTTTCGTCGGGTAACTGGTAGTCTTCAATGATGATAGTCATGGTTGATGATTGAAGATTTTAGAAAGAGAGAGAGTATGAGAGAGAAGAGGGGTTCTGAGCGGAGAGAAGGAGGAAAGGAAAGAGAGGTTTGAAAGGTGAAAGAATACCGGAAGTCAAGGGAACAGAGGCAACAGTAAAAGGGGATTGTTGTACTGATGGGAATTGTTGGAGACCACAGTCACGCGCAGCGTCCTGGTGTGGGCCAGTGGGCCCTTGTTTGGATGGGGTCTGAATCAATGTTATGTCGTCAAATTGTGAAGGGTTGATGGTTAATTGATTTAACCGTTGACTTAACTAATCAGATCGATTATATAATTCAAAAATAAAAAAATATATACAATAATTATAAAATTTAATAATTTAACTAAAAAATATAAAATATGTATAAAATATATAAAATTTGTCATAAAATTAATGAAATTAAGTAACAAAGTGAAGGTAATTATATTTTAAAACAAAATAAAAAGATTCAAGTAAATTATAAAAAAAAAAAAGAGTGTCATTTATAATTTTTCCAAGAATAAGGTTAAAAAAAATTAACTATTTACTGATTTAGGGTAAAAAAATTTATTTATGTAATTTAATTTTTAAAAACTAGTTTTTATTAAAAATCGACCGATTTTTCGATTTTTAACCGGTTCGCTTCCTTAAGACGTTCAACTAAAAAACCGGACAAGTTAGGGTCCCGGTTCACTGTTGAACCGGTCCCATCGACTAGTCCGGTCAGGTTCTAATAATACTGGTCTAAATCAATTTTGGATTTCTGATTTAGATCCCTCTTTTACCCTTTCCTTTTAATTCCCTTCAATACTATATTAGATGAATGACATATGTAAAATTTAAAATTTTAATGGATAAGATATTTTCTCATTTATTTTGTTGTTGGTGGAATATTAATCATTATTAAGGAATTTTCTCACAAATAAAAAATCTTGTCCATTAAAATTCAAAATTTTACACATATCACTCACCTAATACTGTATTGAGGACAATTGAAGGGAAGGGGTAATAGAGGAGATCCAGATTTTTGATTTATGAGTATCTTCAATCATGACTCAAATTTAAACTTAAATTTTAGTTTAAATTTGAATAAAAAAAATTTGATTTAATATAGAATACTCCAATAGACAAACTCAAATATTTATTCAAATTTTAAAAAAAATACTCTAGAATTCTCAAATTGGATACAACAATACAACCTGGGAATAAAAAGAAATAGAAAAAAATTGCTCTAGAATTCTCAAATTGTTCTAATTTCTTATCTTCTTCTATAAATTCAAATATAAAAAAACGGTTACTTTGACATGGGTTTGATATGAAGAATATAAAAAACGGATCATTTTCAACAAAAATTAATGATTGAAGAAATAAAATAATGAATTTCCTAAATTTACAAGTAATAAAGATTTAAATTTCAGTAAGAATCTGGTGGTCAGGAATTGCACTTTAACTCAAAAAAATTAAAATAAAATTTGATAAATAGGTTTAGGGTTTTAAAAGATAAGTGAGATTAGGATTTTGAAAAATACCCAAATTTACAAAGATGAAAAATGAAAATGAAAAAGTTTATCTCTAGGTCTTTAAAGGATCTATGAGTACTTCGATGGTAGTCGGTAATGGAAGCAACGTAAAAGAGAGAGGTTAGAAGAGGCAAAGAATAGGTCGTCGAAGAAATTTTTTGGCTTTGGATAAGATAAAAAGTTACCATTACAAATTTCGTAAAAAATTTGAGTCTTCTTCAATTTTGGTCACAAAAGAAGTTTTTAATTAATTTAATATATGTTTGTGTCAATGTTGGAGAAGATTTTTAGACCATTTAGACTCAAATTTAAATTTGAGTCTAAGGTAGTGTTTGATAAAACTGAAAGTTGAACACTAAAAACTGAATGCCAAATTTTTTAATTCCCATACTATTTGGTATTAACTAAAATTTAAGTATTAAATTTAATCAAACTGTTTGACAAATATAAGGACTTGAACTTTAAAAATTATTATTATTCTAATTTTGTCCTTCTCTTTAACCATCTCTCCGTAGCTGTCTTATTCCTATCACCACCATCACAATGGTGGTGGTAATGGTAGCGACGACGGTGGTGGTTGCACAATGGTAGTGGTGGCAATAACAATAGTGATGGTGATGGTGGTGGCGACAATGGTGGTGGCAGTGGCACAATGGTGGTGGTGGCAGCAGCATAATGATAACGGTAGTGGTGGTGGTGACATAATAGTAGTGGTGGTAACAACAACTCAATGTTGGTGACGGTGGTGGTGGTGGTGGTGGCAGTGGCACAATGGTGGTGGCGGTGGCGGTGTTTACAATGGTGGTGGTAGTGATGGATATAATGTTAGTGGTGGTGGCAATGACACAATGGTGGTGAGGGTATATTTGTCCATTTTATGAGAAATTGATAAAATCCTTATTGATTAATATTTTCAGCATTAAGTGATAAGTATATGGCTTTCTATTTAAAATTTTAGCCTATTTTTAAGAAGTGCTTAAAATATTAAGTAGTATGATAATACCACTTAAAGGCTTAAAATTGAATATTTTAATCACTTAAAAAATTAAACATGTTTGATATCTTAAAACCCACACTACTTAATATTTTAAGCACTTCTTAAAAATAGAATAAAATTTTAAATAGCAAGCTACCTACTTTTCACTTTAATGTTTAAACATGTTAGTCATTAATAATTTTTTTAATTTCTCATAATAAACAAATATACCCTCATCACCATTGTGTCCTCACCATCATTGTGTCATCACCACCACTGCCACCACCATTGTACCACCACCACCCCCACAATCATCATCATCACCTCCACCACTATCACCACCACCATTGTGTCACCGTCATCATCATCATTGCTGCCACCACCACTACCATCACCATTGCCGCCACCACCTCCAGCACCACTACCATCCCCACCATAGTGTCGCCGCCACTACCACCACTATCGTTATGTCACTGCCACCACCACCATTACCATTGTGCCACTGCTACCAACACCACCACTGTAGCTGCTACCACTATTACCACCACTATTGTGCCACCGTCACCACCACTACCACTACTATTCCCACCGCCACCATTGACACCACCACCACCACCACCCACCATCATCACTACCGTTAATACCATTGTGTCGCCGCCGCCGCCATCGCTACTACGATCACTACTATTGAGCTACTGCCACCACGATCACCACCACCACCATTGTGTCACTGCCACTACCAACACCATCGCTACCACCACCACTACCATTGTGTTGTTGCCACCACCATCATCGTTGTTGTCACCACTACCATTGTGTCACCGCTACCACAACCACCATTGCCGCCACCACCTTCATTGTTTCCACCATTGTATCGTCGTCACCACTACTACCATTATGTCACCGCCACCATCACCATTGTGTCACCACTATCACCACCACCACTGTCGCTATCACCAACCACCATTGTGTTACCGCCACCACTACTACCACTACCATTGCTACCACCACTACCATCACCATTACCATCACCACCACTGCCACTACCATTGTGTCGCCGCCACCACTATCATATGTCACCACCACCACTATTATGTCATAACCACTACCATTGTGTGGCCACCACCACCACCATCGTCGCCACCACCACTATTGTGATGGTGGTGGAAGGAATAAGGCAGTTACAAAAAAGATAGTTAAAGAGAAGGGTTAGTAGAATAATAATAATTTTTAGACTTCAGTTGTTTATATTTGTCAGATAATTTGATTAAATTCAATACTTAAATTTCAGTTAATACCAAACAGTCTACGAATTAAAAAATTCAACATTCAACACTTAAAATTCTGCATTCAGTTTTCAGATTTATCAAACACCACATTTGGAGATACTTTTAACAGAAAATTGAGATTAAGACTTATTTAAGAAAAAAATTGTTAATAAGATTTTTAATCTATTAATTTTTATTTATACATAAATTCTTATTATTAGTTACACAATTTAGTTTATCTTTTTTCTAAATTACTTAATTATCTTTCCTTAAATAATACATACCTGATTGACTGTTATTTCTTCTCAAATATGTAAAGATTTGATTCGATTTTATCATTTGTTTAAATTTTGAACATTTATCCTTATTCTTTTACTCTCTCTCCCTATTTTCTCTTACTATTACTCTCTCTCCCTATTCTCTCACACTCTCTCGTACTTTTTTTCTCTATTTCCGTTACCATCACTCTATCTACGATATTTTTTTCTCTCTCTCTCTCCCTCCCCCTTATTTTATCTTACTGTTACTCTTTCTCTTTATTTTTTTCTCTACCATTGATAATTTATTTATTTTTCAAATATGTAAAGATTTGATTTTATTTTTTCATTCGTTTGAATTTTGACTATTTATTCTTAAATCAATTTATGGTATATTCTTTACAGTTGCCTTCAAATGCTATTATTTCCTATATTCTCTAGTTGTGGACTTTCTGATTCGATTCTAAACCAATTGAAGGTATTACGATACAACTCTAAACATGGTTTTCTGATTCAGTTCCAAATGTTACTTTCTCAAAAGTGATACACCTAATAGGTATGAGTTGTACCGGTTATTCAATGCACACAGTGATTACAAAGAGATACACCAATGATGCACCAAAGAGGCGCACAGTGAAATCCAAAGAGAAACACTAAAATGATAGACCTAATTGATGAACAAAATTGATACATGAAAGAGATACACCAAAACAAAAATACTAAAATGATACTCCTAATTGATACATAAAATTACTACAAGAAAGTTAACCAAAGAGATACATCAATAAGGTGTATCACAAAATTTTGTAATTTCAAACAAAAATAATCAAGTAGGGGAGGCGAGAGTGTGTGAGATAGAGAAAGAAGAAATAGGGGAGAAAGAGTGAAAGAATAATGGAGATAGAGAGAGAGATAGAGAATAGGGGGAGAGAGAGTGAGAAGGTAATGAAGTGAGTGAGAAAGAGAAAACAAAGGAGGG